AATCATGTGCATTGCATTCAGTTGCAGGGTGCTTGCAGAGTGACCCCAAACACTTGAAAGGGTTGTGACTATAGGTGGTAGCTCCCGCCAAAAGTCACAGGGAGTATAACTCCTGCCAGTACATATTTACATCTTTGGCCACTGCCTCTGCAGCTAAAGGGGGTAAGAACTGAGGATGGTAAAACCATGGCTGAACCACAAGATTTTAACACCTCCAACCTCATGTGTGAACCAGCCCTAACATTGCCATCAACAAATACAACTAAGGGCTCATTCGCAAGGACAGAAGGCACTGCTGCTCCTCTGAAAAGCAACCCAAGCATTTTTGACAAGTTGTGAAGAGGTGATATGTTGAATTCTCACCGTCTGATTAAAACCTATAATTGCTTTGCAATGCACGTGATTGTGGTGCAGTAGTACGGCAATTAGAGGTTTAAATCAGGTTGTAAAGAGGCAACATTGGGCGATACAGTGCCAAGTGATATTTGTCTTCTCCCATGTTGTTCAGGTAAATCTAGCCTTCTCTAAAAAGTTGCTTACCCTGATCTATGAATTTATCTTCCAGAAAGGTTTTCAGCTGCTATCAGACTTTCAGCTTGATGGACTGGGCTCTCACCATCCAGTTCCACATGTCCACACTTCTTGCTTCTGAACCTCTATTTCCTATACTGAAGCTGGTTCAAGCAAGTTGACATGTAAATTGCTACATTGTTGTATCATTAAACTTTGTTACATTTACTTATTCAGTGCCCTGGTGGCTTTTTTGTTGAACTGCAAATGCAGCTATCTTTTATGGTCCCTTGAGAGGGTGTTTATAGAAATTAAATATCCCATAAAAGGGTCTGAAGGGTATGCTGAAGCAACTAGAGACTAGTTTAAGATGCTCAGTAGACACATCCTTAATACTAACTTTTCTAAATTCATGGCTACATCTGACAGGTTTTAACCATTCAACAACCAACATATTATTGCACAGAATAAAATTTCCATTCAATAGAGACCAATTATGATATAAAGCAGACAAAAATGTCTCTAGAATATCTAATATGTTCCATTAGCCTGCTGGATTTTGTAATATACAGTCATGGCCGAAATTGTTGGCACCCTTGATATTTCTCCAGGAAATCATGTATTTCTCACGAAACGTATTGCATTAACACATGTTTTGCTATACACATGTTTATTCCCTTTGTGTGTATTGGGACAAAACAAAAAAAGGGAGGAAAGAAAGCAAATTCGACATAATGTCACACAAACCTCCAAAAATGGGCTGGACAAAAGTATTGGCACCCTTTCACAACTGCGGATAAATAAGAATGTTACAAGCATGTGATGCTCCTGTAAACTCACCTGGGGCAAGTAACAGGTGTGGGCAATATAGAAATCACTGAAAGCAGATAAAAAGGAGAGACGTTCACTTAACCTTTGCATTGTGTGTCTGTCTGTGCCACACTAAGCATGGACAACAGAAAGAGGAGACGAGAACTGTCTGAGGACCTGAGAACCAAAATTGTGGCAAAATATCAACAATCTCAAGGTTACAAGTCCATCTCCAGAGAACTAGATTTGCCTTTGTCCACAGTGCGCAACATTATCAAGAAGTTTGCAACCATGGCACTGTAGCTAATCTCCCTGGTCGTGGACGGATGAGGAAAATTGATGAAAGATTGCAACGCAGAATAGTCCGGATGGTGGATAAGCAGCCCCAAACATGTTCCAAAGACATTCAAGCTGTCCTGCAGGCTCAGGGAGCATCAGTGTCAGCGCGAACTATCCGTCGACATTTAAATGAAATGAAACGCTATGGCAGGAGACCCAGGAGGACCCCACTGCTGACACAGAGACATAAAAAAGCAAGACTACAGTTTGCCAAAATGTACTTGAGTAAGCCAAAAGCCTTCTGGGAAAACGTCTTGTGGACAGATGAGACCAAGATAGAGCTTTTCGGTAAAGCACATCATTCTACTGTTTACCGAAAACGGAATGAGGCCTACAAAGAACAAAACACAGTACCTACGGTAAAATATGGTGGAGGTTCAATGATGTTTTGGGGTTGTTTTGCTGCCTCTGGCACTGGGTGCCTTGACTGTGTGCAAGGCATCATGAAATCTGAGGATTACCAAAGGATTTTGGGTCGCACTGTAGGGCCCAGTGTCAGAAAGCTGGGTTTGCGTCCAAGATCCTGGGTCTTCCAGCAGGACAATGACCCCAAACATACGTCAAAAAGCACTCAGAAATGGATGGCAAAGAAGCGCTGGAGAGTTCTGAAGTGGCCAGCAATGAGCCCAGATCTAAATCCCATTGAACACCTGTGGAGAGATCTTAAAATTGCTGTTGGGAAAAGGTGTCCTTCCAATAAGAGAGACCTGGAGCTGTTTGCAAAGGAAGGGTCCAAAATTCCGGGTGAGAGGTGTCAGAAGCTTATTGATGGTTATAGGAAGCGACTGATTTCAGTTATGTTTTCCAAAGGGTGTGCAACCAAATATTAAGTTAAGGGTGCCAATACTTTTGTCCAGCCCATTTTTGGGGTTTTGTGTGACATTATGTCATATTTGCTTTTCTGCCTCTGTTTTATATTTGTTCCAATACATACAAAGGGAATAAACATGTGTATAGCAAAACATGTGTTAATGCAATACCTTTTTTGTGTGAAATACTTGATTTTCAGGAAAAATATCAAGGGTGCCAACAATTTCGGCCATGACTGTAGGTGTGTTTCAAATTTAACTGATTGCTAAAATGAATTATTGAATCGCTGAAGCCTGAATTATGGAATATGAAACAGAGTTGGGCTTGATAAAAAACCCAGAACAGAATTTGTATTTACTCGAAATATTCAACAGTCTGACAGTCCTTTATGGGTGGACTGTATTAACTACTTGCCCTCCACCCTTCCTGACCAGGCCATTTTTTGCAATACGGCACATTACTTCAACTGACAATTGCATGGTCATGCAACGCTGCACCCACATTAAATTCATATCCTTTTTTCCCCACAAATAGAGCTTTCTTTCTGTGGTATTTGATCGCCTGTGTGTTTAATTTTTGTGCTATAAACAAAAAAAGACCAACAATTTTGAAAAACAAACAATATTTTTGACTTTTTGCAATAAAACACGTCCAGTAAAATATTTTTTAAAAATCTAATTTCTTCATAAATGTAGGCCAAAATGTATTCTACAACATGTCTTTGCTAGAAAAAAATCCCAATACATGTAAATTAATTGGTTTACGTGAAAGGTATAGCGTCTAATGGCGGTGTTTATATACTGGAATTTTTTTTTTATACTAGTAATAGCGGCAATCAGCAACTTATAAATGGGATTGCATACTGTGGTGGGCATTGTGACACTTGGGGGGAACTGACTAACTGCCACTGACATCCCATTGACACTAATACAGTGATCGGTGCTAATAAAAAACACTGACACTGTACTAATAACATTGGGCAGGAAGGGGTTAACATCTGGGGCCACCTAAGGGTTAACTGTGTGCCGTTTTACTATGTGCTGGGTGTGTTTTACTAGGGAAGCATGCTGCTTTCTATTGCTCTGCTATGCATGTCGGTTCTGACACGGGAGAGATCTGTCTTGTTTACACACAGACTTCCCCCCTGTCAGTGTTTCTCAGCGATTGCCAGATGCCGGCCAGGATTCTGCGACTGGGACCTGGTGATCAACAGCTGTAGCCACCAAAGGCGGCGCAGGTAGGGCAGCGTGCACACACATGCCCCCTACCCGGAAATGCAAAATCACATATATACATAATTTTACGCTGCCCTGTCACCCGGTAGCAGAGGTTTTGCTATAGTGTGGCAGGGAACTGGTTAAGGGGCTTTGCAAATACTGGCTAAGATGTTTTTTCATTCCATTTCTGATCTGTTCTGTGTCATCAGCAGGGGAGGACTGACCATTTGGAAACTCGGGCACTGCCTGAGGGCCCGGGGTCAGTAGGGGGCCCTATGAGATGCCCCTGGCACCTTTTTCATAGGCTTTTTTGAGTTTGGGCAAGGACACAGGGGCCCCATGATCCCCTATTGCTCGGGGGCCCCATGAGTTGCCAGTCCGCCCCTGTTCATCAGGGTTGATTTACTTAAGTCAAATAGACTGTGCACTTTGCAAGTGCAGTTACACTAATTTTCCCCAGAGCTTAGTGAATATGGTGAAGCTCTGCTGATTTCCATCATCCAATCATGTGCAAGCAAAAAAGCTGATTTTTTTACATTTTTATTTTCCCTGCACCTGATTGTGTATTCTTCACCGCAGTCACTAAGATTATTTAGGGGACAGACTGCGGGGGTCTTACTTCCCCTTCCTATTTCCAGTGCTTTTTGTGAAGGGGTTTCCATTACTCTCTCTCAGCATGATGATTGTGACTAATATTTTAGTATTGATTTTAGAATACACCAACATTCTGAGAGACATCTAGGAGTCTATAGTGGGTATGTTTGGGAATGTGGCAAATGAGTGCAGCTGCAAAGTGCACAGTCTATTTGGCTTTAGTAAATCAACCCCAGTGTCTTAAGTTGATTGTTTTCTTTTGTTGATTGTATTATCTTCCCTAAATACATAGCACAGACATGAGATTTAAATCTGACCTGTTTTATTATTGACTAACAGGTTTTGGTGAAACAAGGTTGGCACCGTGTTTAATGTGACTTCACCATTCTCCACACAGATTGGGAATGTCAGACCTCATTTTTGTCACAATCAGGGATCAATATATTTATGTTTCATAGCATTCATGATCCAATTCCTGTATTACTTATAAGTCTTTACATATCATGTTCTCCTTCATAGTTCATTTATTTCATTGTGTTCAGTTTTACTTTTAAATGTGCAACTTTCACCAGTGTTCAGTTTTACTTTTAAATGTGCAACTTTCCCCAGTTTTGAGGTCATGGGAACTTTCAATTACATTTCTACAAATCAAAAAAAGGTTCTCTTTAAAAAAAGATCAAAACCCAATCCAAAATGACTATTCATAGATTTACTGCCACTTTAATTCCGAGGAATTGCACAGATCTCATGCTTCAGTGGAGGAGTTGTGAAGCCAACACCTCCTGTAAGGTCCAGTTTTGCTCCAGGTGGAGCCTGAAAGGTGAAGTTTTGCAGCAGTGTTGTAAAGAAGAGGAACAGTTTCATTTTAGCCAAGGTTTCTCCAGCACAACTTCTCTTACCTTGGAATGAAAAAGTAAAAAAAATTATTAAAATAATGATTAAGGAGGAATATTGACTTTTACAGCTCTAGGACATAAAACTTTCCATTACTGTGTCCATCTAGGTCTAATTGGGGACTTGTTCATGTGCCATCTCTTCACTCTTTGCAAAGTGGGTGCATTGAGGGGATTTGAGTACATTAAGGGGATATCACACTGTTAGAATCTAATCAGGGCTTTGAACTCCCCCAGCCAATATTTACAGAGCTTTTTTGCCTCCACATATCCTTTTATAACTATATATAACTGTATAACTGTTAGAACAAAAATAAAAAAAAGAGAGAGAAATCACAAAGATCTTGCACAAAAAAAACTATTGTTATTAAATATTAATAAAAAACTATATAAAATACACTCACATAGGTGCAGTGTTTTGACAGTCAAGCAATCCAAAGTATAAACTAGAGCCATGGCCAACAGCAAAAGCTGCAGGGTTGATGTGCTGAGCTGCATTGTGTTTCTACTCACCTTCCAGGACAGCTTTCAGCTAGGTGGCTGTGTTAAATGAGACTGTACCTGCAGTGGGCTCCACACTGGAGCACACTTGAAGCTGTGGGAATTACTTGTATGTGTATATTGCGCTCTGTGGTCCTGGTTGTTAATGCAATGTGTGTCCCTCATTCCCTCTTTCTCAAGCCTGCAGCTTTTGCTGCCAAGCACGGCTCTTACATACTGGATTGCATGGCTTTCAAAACATAGTGTCTATAGGTCCTTGTTCCTTTGAGTACTTAACTAAAAAATGTATTTTTGCACATATCTTTGAACTTTGTTTAATTTTGTTTAACATTTCAGGCACTCCTTGTTGCTGTTTTTGATGAAAGCTGCAGGATCTCCTTTTCAACGGTCTTTCCTTGAACGTTCGTAGTTAAAACTTTACTTGACTAGTTCCCTCTTCAAGTTGCAAAGTGTGGATGGGATAAGCAAATCCTTCCCTGATGGTTTTTATATAACTTTTAAAACAATCTATTTTATTTCATGTGGGAGTGAGAAGCAGTAAGGTGAATACCCAATGAAATGGAAATCAGCTGGAGTGTCAAAGATCCATGTCCTCTAGGCATGGTAATATATCACTTTTGGGTAAACTCATTAAAGACTTTGGCCTAAACGTTGTCCATCATACCACTTCAGAAAACTGGACAGTATAAAATTACTAATTGTGGCCCCATCTGTAATCTTTGGGTTCTGTCCTCTGCGGACTTGGCCTGTCCTTCTTTTGCTCACAGTCATAGAGGAACCCTTGATACATTTGTAACAATTTAGAGTTTTCCCCTTTTATTTTCTCACCTGCAGAAAATGGTATAAAAGCTTCAATATTAACAAATTTTCCCTCTGAGTCCAGAAAATGCTGAGGGTAAAATTCTTCGGGCTTCTCAAAGTGCTCTTTGTCTCGTAGGACAGAATACAGTAATGGAATCACTTGAGTTCCCTGCAGAGAATAGATGGGATAGACATTTGGATGGATCATAAGTAACAGTTATTAGTTGATTGATCTGTTCAAGGTGCACTCCGATCAAAGGTAAAAATTAAGCACTGAAATAAGAAGGTAAAGGCTACCTATTGACTATTTAAAGTGATTGTAAAGTCTATTTTTTAATCAAAATAAAAAAGATGCTATATTTACCTGCTCTGTGCAATGGTATTGCACAGAGGGGCCACTTACCTCCTCTTCTGCATCCATAAACGCACACAGAGTGGTTTAGCCGCACACCTGCTCCCTTTTCACAGGATTCAACTGACAGCAGCAGAAGCCAATGCATCCAACTGCTGTCTGAGTCTACTGTGAGACCAGGATATGAAGCAAGAAGATCTGTAGCCAGGGACAGCACTAGATCACTAACAGGCTTGGGTAAGTGCTTGGTGGGGAGTATGGGGAACAGTTAGTGTGGAGTTTTTTTACCTTAATGCAGGGAATGCATTAAGGTAAACAACTCTTAGACTTTAGAACCACTGTAAGTCTTTTTATCTAGACGTTGCTTAAGTGCCCCAGTCCAACTTCTCCCTGTTATAAATAATCTGGTGACCTGGGAACCCTTTTTTTTTGGCTGTTTGTTATGCAGGACATCCATTCCCAAACATACCCACTATAGACTCCTAGATGTCTCTCAGAATGTTGGTGTATTCTAAAATCAATACTAAAATATTAGTCACAATCATCATGCTGAGAGAGAGTAATGGAAACCCCTTCACAAAAAGCACTGGAAATAGGAAGGGGAAGTAAGACCCCCGCAGTCTGTCCCCTAAATATTTTTGTATGCGAATGGGATATTCAGCCAACAAATCAAAGACATCTTTTTTGAGTGTGGCCAACAGTAGGTGCCAAAAATAAATTATAAAAGCTTGTTCAGTCTCTGGTGCATGCCAGCTTAGAAAAGTGACTGTCATCCAGAGGCGATATTAAAATCTGGAACAGGGAAATCTGGTACAGACACATGGATTTTGAAAGCAGAATCTGGGATGGATACGTTTTAAAGTCAGTTCGGGTTTCAGGTCCTTCAGCTCAATGGATAGGAACAGTGCATCAGAGTTGGTCATTTTAGCTCCCAGACAGCAAGCCACATTAAAATTAGACATAGAAAAGAACAGAGCCTAGTGAACATGACGAGGATTGATCCTCTGAGCAGTTTGAAGTTATTGAAGATTCTTTCAATCCAAATAAAGGGTATTAAGCTAAATCATTCCTTCTAGAAGATGCCACCACTCTGAGTGTGAGCCTTGGTCTCCTATGGAATGATTTCTTTACACCAGCAAGAACTTTTTACTGAAGAATCCACAGGAGTGGTGTTCACCAGAAACATTTTTTTTGCAAAAGGGGAGGTGAAGGGGTGGACCAGAAAGGGGGCAGATAGGAAAGACCCCTTTAAGAGTCTTTTGTATATGCTTCTGAAGCTCATTCCCTTTCTTGGTTAGAGTGGTGATGGTGTTACAGTGGAGTAATCATTAGTGAACTGATATTAATTAGAAAAGCCTAGGAATCTCTGAGCAGCTTTTGAGAAGGAAGCTCTGTCTGTATCCATGGTTTTAATTAGCAAAGTCTAGGAATCTCTGAGCATCTTTTGAGGTGGGAGCTTTGTTTGGAGCCATGTGTGGACCCTGGGCAGTGAATATAAAACCTAGGAAGGGAACACATGTGAGCTCAAAAGATATATTTCTAAAGTTTAGTGTTAAATCTATTTTCATCTAATTGAAGAACTATTGTCTTGACATGCTCATGATAGTAAGGAAGATCTGAATAAATAAATACCCTCTAGACATAGCACATGAGTACAAATGTTTCTGAAAACATTGTTGACAAAATCTTGGAAAATGGCTGGGGCATTGCAGAGACCAAATATTTGTAGTGGTCATGTCAAATTCTGAAGGTAGCCCTCCATTCATTCATCACCTTTTTTTAATTCTGATGAGGTTATAGGCACCCTGAAAATCTAATTTAGTAAAAAATGGATGCTACCTGCAGGTAATAACACTTTAAGATCCATGGAAAGGGATGTTTCTTCTTTACTATGATCTTGTTTAGACCCTGGAAATTATAGAGGGCGAAGAGAACCATCTTTATTCCTACCTGAATAAACAAAACTTATGATACAGACAGGATGGAATGGGGAGTCCTTGCCAATATGCTGCAGAAAACAAGATGCCCTCCTCCCCAGGACTTTATTCCTCCAAAGGTCCAGTCAATGATGGGCTAATGGTGCATAGCCATGGAAGATACAACAGAAAAGTATTGACTAACCTTAGTAACACATAAAAAAGCTCCCAGACACATAGTGAGGGGCAATAGTGGCTTATTAAATACTGGCAGGGAAGACTGCCATTTAGGATATAGACCTGGAAAGGTTTAGCTGGAGGCAGAACAGGGATTTCACACTTCTACACAAGATCCCAAGAAAGTTTGATGCCAGAAACTGTTCCCTTGAACTGGATGGAAAAAATATTTCAGTATGCAAAGAGGAAACTGCACTGCCTAGGCTCTGGAGTTTTGGTGCAAAGTGCTTTGGAATTTGGTCATGGAAGGTGTTGGCATTCATGTGATCTTTCCTAGAAATTAATGTTAAGACAATAATCATATAGCTGTGGGTGATCTGTCTTGAGAAGTGGAGCCTGGACCAGTGCTTGTCCAAATAGCAGGGAGGGTATGGAAAAGACTTTGTTTCTGTCAGAAGGAAAGTTCCATTAAAGTAATTCAAACTGGGCTTGGAACTAGTTCAATACACCTTTGCAGAACTGGGGGCCCCCAGAGGACATGATGGAACAGAATACATAGATGGCACATATAATAATGAACTGGCTGTTAGTACAGATACCAATGGGCAGGGCAGGAGATAAGGCCTGAGCAAGCATCTAAAAAATAAGTGTAGGGGCCAACAGCTGAGTGAGTTCCAGGAGGGTGTCAGCAATCTGTTCCAACTTCTCTTCAGGTTTTTTTAACCTGAAAAACAGGCCTTGCTGAAAGGCCTCAGTAGCGATCATGGCCTGAGCAAACTGTCATGATGGAGGTTGTGGACCATCTGTGTCATCAGGCGTATGTGAGCCCTACAGAGGGCCCAGGCACAAAGTCAAAGGAGCCACCCAGTGTTCACTAGAGCACTCTGAAAGGGATGATGGACTTTGATGCTGACATCTACCAGACTGCTGCCCCCAGTTACAATCAGAGTTGCACACTGCTGAGAGCAGGCAGAAAAGAAGTATCATACAAAATCAATAGACAAGATCATGGTAAGAACGTTAAAAGGACAAGGCAGGTGGAGAAAAAAGATCTTCAAGAATCAGGCAGGTATCAGGCCCGGAACAGAGATCTGGGGGACAGCAGCTTGGGAATATATAGTCAAAGAGATCACTGATCAGGCAACCTAGGTAGTTTTTGGAGTTGTTCACAAGTTGGTAGCAAATACCTTTCATTTTTTTATATTCTAGTAATGAATAAAGGAAAGAATGCAATACTTACTTTGGGTATAAAGAATTCCTTGAATGTCACATCTTGAGTAGTGGCATGTGGAACACTTGTTGGCACGATATTGGCAAACCTTTGGATTTCATGGATAACAGCATCAATATACGGCATTTGTTTTCGATGTATCAGGAGAGGCTCCCCGGAACCGATGACTTTTTGAATTTCCTTCTGAACATTTTCTGGTATTAAAAGAAAGGCTTACTTCAGGGGTTTTCCATTTTCCCTTAGGATACGTATATGTAAGCAGGTACAGTAGCTCTGAAAGGGGATTATCTGTGTTAAACTTTTATTGTTATCTAAGTTCTGATTTCTGTATCTTTTCCTGGCAATGCATTACCATGTAAGACTGGTATTTTGTTATTTGGAATGGCTCTGCTGGGGTGGTGGGACCTGAAAGGCAAAGGTTAACACTGCTGGACAGGTTTTCCTGGGCTTTTCAGGGGAACATCGCCCCATGCTGGTTGCACCATATAAATATAGGGCTCCTAGAGTTCCCAGGGGTGTAACTAAGCTCAGGGAGTCAAGATGTAGCTGTCACTCTACTGCTCAGCATCCCTTGTGGGAGCCCAGTTGGGGTTCCCAAAGGTCTGGGACTTACATGGACTTATGCTACCAGATTATGGACTTCTATGGACTCT